AAATTGTTCAAAGAATTTAATTCCATGCAGAACTCTGGTTGCCATGGCAACCGAAAGAAAAAACTTTAAATATCTTCTTTTAAAAAACCATAAGAGCTAGAGCTTAGATATTTGGCATGAAACATCTTCTAGTGAGTGTCTACCAAGTTTGTTCAAATAAAAGCCCTGGGGTCAAAATTGGCCCCGCCCCGGGGGGTCATTGATTTTCCCTATATGCATATAGTAAAAACTTAAAAAATTTTCTTTTAAGGAACCCAAACAGCTAGAGCTAAGATATTTAGCATGAAACATGTTCTAATGGGTGTCTACCAAGTTTGTTCAAATAAAAGCCCTGGGGTGAAAATTGGCCCCGCCCCGGGGGGTCATTGATTTTCCCTATATGCATATAGTAAAAACTTAAAAAACTTCTTTTAAAGAACTCAAAGAGCTATGGCTAAGATATTGAGCATCAAACATGTTCTAGTAGGTGTCTACCAAGTTTGTTCAAATAAAAGCCCTGGGGTCAAAATTGGCCCCACCCCAGGGGGTCATTGATTTTCCCTATATGCATATAGTAAAAACTTAAAAAATCTTCTTTTAAAGAACCAAAAGAGTTAGAGGTAAGATATTTAGCATGAAACATGTTCTAATAAGTGTCTACCAAGTTTGTTCAAATAAAAGCCCTGGGGTCAAAATTGGCCCCGCCCCGGGGATCAATTGATTTTCCCTATATGCATATAGTAAAAACTTAAAAAATCTTCTTTTAAAGAACTCAAAGAGCTATGGCTAAGATATTTAGCATCAAACATGTTCTAATAGGTGTCTACAAAGTTTGTTCAAATAAAAGCCCTTGGGTCAAAATTGGCACTGCCCCGGGGGTCATTGATTTTCCTTATATGTGTATAGCAAAAACTTAAAAAATCTTCTTTGAAAAAACCCAAATAGCTAGAATTAAGATATTAAGCATGAAACATCTTTTAGTGAGTGTCTACAAAGTTTGTTCAAATAAAAGACCTGGGGTCAAAATTGGCCCCGCCCCAGGGGGTCATTGATTTTCTTTATATGTGTATAGCAAAAACTTAAAATCTTCTTTGAAAAAACCCAAATAGCTAGAGTTTAGATATTAAGCATGAAACATCTTCTAGTAAGTGTCTACAAAGTTTGTTCAAATAAAAGCCCTGGGGTCAAAACTGGCCCGGCCCCAGGGGTGTGATTGTTTTTAACTATATATAATGTATAGTAAAAACTTTAAAAAAATCTTCTTTTAAAAAGCCCAATGAGCTAGAGCTTAGATGTTTTGTATGAAACATCTTCTTATGGGTGTCTACCAAGTTTGTGCAAATAAAAGCCCTTGGGTTAAATTGGCCCTGCAACGTTTGGGGGGGGGGCCTATATACAGGTGAGCGACCTCAGGGCCATCATGGCCCTCTTGTTTACTTTTGTCTTAAAGTTTCACTCATAATTACAGACCCAGAGAACTTATTTATAACTTTTTCCCTTAACCTTTATTACATGGACTTGTTTGACTGAATAGCAAACAGTACATACCATAATTGTTTGAAAGAGCATAATGATAGAAAACATTCTTAACCAAGAGCTTTAGATATAACAATAAACATGATAATATATATTATATATATATAATTATAATAATATATATATAATATTATAAGGTATCCATTTAAATTTTTGAAGATTGGTGAATCTACTCGAGGGCCTGCTTAAGACTGAAATTTAAGGGAAGCTGTGGCATAGTGGTTTACGGAGTCTGTCACTCCAACCCAGGATTCATGGGTTTGAGCCCTTTTTATGGCAAAATGTCAAAAATGATGTAAGCATGGCATGAGGAACACTTTAACATCTTGAAATACCCACAAAAAATTACAAGTGAGAAAAGATGTTCTATATTTCTCTTTTATTTTAAAGTTTAAAGTCATTACATGTACAAACCCATCAAGAAAAATGCCTAAATTTTATGAGTGAATGATAAGACTGTGCTAAACCCGCATTACAGCTTTTGTTAATAACATATTATATGATATGAGTTTGTAGTCGACCCTTCTGTACATCTGATTTCTTATAATATAATTTTCTTACCTTTTAACAACATATTATATTTGATCTGTTAAATGTATGCTACATGTAAACTGTATGTGAAAAAACATTTATCAGATTTCGCGCTCCTTTAGAAATGTATACATTGTGTAAAGAGATCAAAGTTATAGTCTAACACCAGTTTGGCAGTCCATCTTTCTGTCTCACTTCTTTACTAAGGAAGTGCCGACTTTTCTGATTCACGAAGATGGTTTTGTAATGTACGTCAGGGTTTTCATTATTAACAGATTGGCAATCCATTAAAATGCTGTTAAATTCGGCAGTGTTTTCAGCCTGTAGATTAAAATATCCCACCTTGACCCTTAGCCAAATCGGTTGTTTTCATTTGCACTGTTACCTGAGATAGAAATGAAAACCCTGGTAAGTACCACTTACCTTAGCATGGACTTCTTCTACCAATTGTGTACTATTTTACGTTTAAGAGATCATGGTCACTAAGACTAAAAATAGATTATCTAGACTACTTTTCAAAATTGTATGGTAATGCTTTTAGTGATATCAGTTTGTAAAAGTAGAATTTTGGAAGCACCAATCGGTCACATCGGGCAAATTTCTACGAGAATTTGGCCACAAGAATTCTTGTATTTTACAATGACACTGATATTCTTGTAGGTTAATGTGATGGGTAATTTATTTTGAATTATCTTTTAAAGAATGTTTTTATTTTTTGGGGTTGGAAGTTTATTTTCATTTTCTTTTTATTTTATTTTATTGGTAAAATAGGAGTAGAAGTTATTAGAAATGTTTATAAATAAAAAGAATTTCATTAACTGAAACATGGACTTAGTTGTTAAAATTGGGAAATTGGTAAAGTTTGGGAAATTTGTAAACCATATAAAGTTTGGTAAATTGAGAAAAATAAGGCATCCTTACAAAAAGCCAATATTGAATTTTAAATTTTATTTGCAACATTTTGACAAACTGGAATTTTTAGCAGTTGGGAATTTAACTCAGCTAAAAAGTGGGGAAAAAACCCAACTTTTATTAATTAAGTGGGACAAATGTCATTTTTCTCGTTCTAATGGTCACTTTCACTATATAATTAATCATTCAAATTGGATATCATGTTATTAATCATATAATTCTAATATCATGTAATCAATCATAATATTTTTACTGTGTAACATATTTATATCAGTTCAGAAAAATTGTCACAAACTGAAAGATGTAAATTTGTGAATGAGTATATGGACATCTCAAAAAATGTTATGAAAGTGAATTGGTCTACAATGGGCACATTTTCCATAAGTATTTCAAATATTGATAAAACAATAGAAATGTATCATTTGGGTATAAACTTTTAATTGCTTGGAAAAAAAATGTTGATTTAAGTTGTAAGTGATTTAGAAATTAGTATGAATATGATGTCAATAACGATATTTTGATTTATTACACAATTCATTATCTGCTATGAAAATATATCCGTAATATTGGATCATGTATCTCACACTGGCCAACAAAATCCATATATAATATGAGCGGTGTCATGACAAAACCAATATTATGGGTTTGCGACCAGCATGGATCCAGACCAGCCTGCGCATCCGCGCAGTCTGATCAGGATCCATGCTGTTTGCTATCAGTTTCTCTACTTGTAATAGAAGTGGTAAGCGCAGGCTGGTCTGGATCCATGCTGGTTGCAAACCCATTATGTTGGTTTTGTCGTGACGCGGCTCATATTTTTTCTTGGTTTGTTATTATGTCTGATACTAAATAATATCAATATAATTATTTATTGTGCTACACACCTGCCATTATAGACCATTTCACTTTAAGCAATATTTACATGTACCATTCATTGTCATATACTGCTGAAATGTCACATATTCACATTTTGTACCTGTGAACCACAACCACCAATCACCTTCACTAGGGTATCAAATTTTTGCCATGAAAATGATTTTTTTTTTTGTAACAGGATGAAATGCCTGTTAATGAAGACGTGATCGAGATATGATTGTTACGTTTTAATACTTTTGCCTTTTCACTTCACCATTCAACAAGGCAAAAGTATGTCAGACCAGAAAGCATATATAGGAAAACACTACAAATAGTGACTGTTCATGCATTTGTTGTCTTTTTTTTTAACTTTAGTTTGTGACAGAAATAAAAAGCCTGAAAAGCTTTCATCAGTTATCCACCATACCTACATAATTTGTCCCCTTAGTGCAGTAAGTCCTTCTAAATTTCATAGGAGTTAAACAGTTATTGCACTAAGGTTAACACATGTAATTTTTTTTTACAAGATCTTTTGTTTTATGAAAATTATAACTAAAGAGAAATATGTGATGTTATGACATGGGGTGTCTGTGGCTGAATGGTTAAGGTCGTTAAGTTCAAATAACCTACCCCACACTGCTGTGGGTTCAAATCATGCTAGGGACTCTGGATTCTTTCATGTGAGGAAGCTATCCAAGTAGCTAACAAAAAGTCAGTGGTTTTACTCAGGTACCAGGTCTGAAACAGTGCATGGAGGGGAACACAAGGTCTTTCTTTACAAGTAAAGCTGAAAATTTGCCATATGACCTCTATGGTGTTGTGACATAAAACCTAACACCCCCCTTTCCCCCCCCCAAAAAAAAAAAAAAAAAAAAAATATGAAAAAAATGATAAGACATTTCATTAATTTTTTTATTATCACTTACAGGCTTTGGCAGACACACAAATGAATATCATACAATAAAAATCATTTGTTATTGTTTGTACGTTTGTTAAACTTATGTTTGTTTCCCATCTCATTATTTTGATAACATAGCTTTAACAATTAAAGTTTCATGCAATATATCTTTAAAAGAACATTGAATAAAACATATAAACATGACATGTATAAACATGACATAGGAATTTGAATGATAAATTAAGACAGAAGATACTACTATGACACTTTTATTTCTTGATTTTTTCAG